ATCAAACTCCTGCTCACATGGATGGAGGAGCATCCTTTGTGGTCGAGATGTGATCCGCGCAAACACTACAAAGTCAATTGGTAATGGGGAAACTACCAATGTCTGGCGGGAAGCTTGGTGCTCGGCAGAGGAAGTCATTAAACCCATGGGGCCGCCTGAACTCGCAACAAAGGACCTTAAGGTTGCAGATCTTTTCAGTACGGGGACGAAGACTTGGAATGCAGAGCTTGTTCAGGAATTATTACCGGGCAAAGCTCCTTCGATTCTATGCATCAAACCAAGCACAACGGGAGCAGCTGATACATATTGCTGGACGCTGACAGCTACTGGGGATTACTCGACGAAAACAGGCTATTACACAGCCTTGAATCTTGCCACCAAATCCGCTACACAGACGCCAACAACAAACCAACCTCTCGCAATTGGGTAAGTGATATATGGAATATTCAGTTACCACCAAAAATCAGAGTGTTCCTATGGAAAGCTATCAGAGGTGCTTTGGCCCTTGGTGCAAATTTGGAATCGAGAGGACTAACTGTTAGATTAGAGTGCGTTTTCTGCGGAGAAAAAGAAACTGCTGATCACTTGTTCCTATCATGCCCGTTCGCAAGAAATGTGTGGAACATGGCACCCATATCCAACGGTCAGACCATCTCATCCCTCCCAAATCTCACAACAGCACTTCAGACATCACGCAAGCTTACCAACCTTCCACCATCGGGAGTATATTTGGTATCATTATTTCCTTGGGTTGTTTGGACTCTTTGGCTAACTAGGAACCAAAGATTGTTTGAGAATAGGCATTTTGACGAAAAAGAGACACTAATCAAAGCTATAAAGGACGCAAAGGAATGGCAAGAGGCGCAACAAGAGTTTCCACAACCAACACCGCAGGAGACGATTCCAAAGCGGCCATCGACAGCAGCCATCTTCATCAACACCGACGCGGCATGGAAGGAGGATACAAAAATAGCTAGTCTAGCTTGGATTTTCTACGACAGCAGTGGGATTCAACTCCGACAAGGAAGTATTACTGAGGAGTGGGTGAGCTCGCCGCTTATCGCAGAAGCTCTTGCTATAAGGGAAGCTATCTCTCAGGCGATAGCGCTTGGCTACAACAACATTGAACTCAGATCAGACGCCCAGGTTCTTATCCGGGCCATCAATGGACGAGATCATATCAAGGGACTTTATGGAATCTTACAAGACATCCACAACTTAACTTGTCATCTCTCCACCTTTGTTTTTTCGCATATTTCTCGCAAAGACAACGTCAAAGCTGACAGCCTCGCTAAGAGGACTCTGTCTGAACTCTTTATTAGCATGTAACCTTGTTCAAGTTAAATGCATCAGTCGTTCAAAAAAAAAAAAATATGGTAATAACTCATACATTATCTTTAAAATAAATATATTCAAATATAACATTAAAAATTTCTTAATATTATTCTATTTTATTGTTTATATTATATAATTTGTATTACTAAAGTTTTTTTTTTAAAATTGCTACAATTTTTTAAATATATAAATTTATAATTATAAAATCATTAGTTTCTCATATCTTTACAGATTTTGTAAATACTGTTTAGTTTAAATTTGTTTATAATTATACAATTTTATATCACTTTTATCAATTTTATACTCATTAACTCAATATATTTAAACAATATAAATGGATATCTAAGATTATAATTTTAAAAATATGCATATATATTCTTAAATATAATTTTAAGTTAACAAATTTATTTTATCTTAATTTAATTTTTAACTAAATCAAATCTATATTTAAATATTAGTAAGAAAATAAGAAAATCTATAATATTAACAAAATTTACTATTAAATATAATTTAACCTTAAAAAATTTCTCAGAACCCCTTGTATGTTTATAAATTTGATAAAACAAACTCCACGTGGGTGCGCGGTAGCTCAAACTCTAGTCCCTTATATATTAAAGGAGAAACATTTAAAAAATTGTAATCTCAATTTTGTAATAATTAAAAAAGACCCAATGCTTAGGTGTCACTCAATTAGGTAGTCAATTATATTCAATTGAAAAATAAGTAGGTCTACATTCGATTTTTATATTACATTCGTTGGTCAAATTATATGATATGATATATGATATGATATTTATGATAGAAGCATTTATGATTGTTCCCCTAGATATAATTACTATTTTATTTTCTTTCCATAAATAAAACCTACAGAATTACAATAAATGACTAATATATATATGACACTTAATGATTCTAATCCCTTATATATTAAAAGAGAAGCATTTTGCATTAAATGTTTTCACACCACCTTCTCACAATTTATTACCTTATTTACTACCTTCTCACAATTTATTACCTTATTTACTACATTCTCACAATATATTACCTTATTTACTTCAACAATTGTTTACCTTATTTACTTCAATTATAAAACACACGAGATACTTTAAAACTACAAAGTTCAATATCGCATGAGACAAGCTCGGAGGCAAGTGAATTGGCTTGAGGGTCGATGTCAAAGTTCTGGAACGTCGTTATTAGAGCGGTGGGACGTATCTAAGATGATGGATGTGAAGGGCAACGTACCGGAGCCCATGAACGCGATCTTGGTTTGCATATGGCTCGTGTGTAGCATGAAGAGATTGAACTCAACCTTGCTAAGTTTGAGGTAGTTAGTGTACTGAGGATAGATCTAAATGGTGAAATGTGTTGTCTTCGAGAGATCCCAAGGCCGTATAGTAGTGGTGCTCTGGAAACTCTATATCTTCACTACGTAGGTTGGTGAGGTTGGTTCTGTAGTTTTGGACTTTTAGGCACAAATTTTTAACGTCGATTTTTGTATCCATAGGCAGAGCTATTGAACAAATTGTCGACATATATATGTGAAAGGTTTAAGGGCTCTTGAGATTGGAGATTTCGTTATACAAGTCGAGAATTTGCTTCTCGAAATGAGCATTTTCACAACCCATATTGAGACTAAAAGGAGATTTGGGATTGTCTCAATACTCTTAATGGTATTGACAACAATATACTTTCATATTACGTGTTTCCATGTCGTGTGGATGACAAAAAAACAGATATATGAGACAAAATCGCAATTTAACCAAAAAGACAATATTTATAATATAGATATATAATTGGACGATATTAAAACCCGAAACAACCAATCCAAAACAAACTAATATGCAAATAAAACAGATATAATGTCTTCTTATCTTCAAAAAATACAACAAATTTAATCATTTCATTCCGCGCAAGGCGCGGGTCTAATCCTAGTAATAAATATTTGATAACAGTTTATATATCCTCCATCATTTTTCTTTAATTTTATATTATTAAATAAATTAAACAATCAAATTAGCTATAAAATTAAACTTTAGATTTTTTCGTATAGGTTATATTTTGAATTTTAAAAAACGAGAATAAATAACTAAACTATTAAAATTATTATGTTAAAAATTAATGATCAATAGTTTAAATTTTTTATTATAAAAAGATATACATGATTTTAAAACCATATAAGTAAAAAGAATCATTCAATAATAAAACAAATATATATACAGATTAAACTATATACCATATAAGATTACATAAATATTTTAATTTCAAAATCCTCAATAAATTTTCAAGAACATTCATAAATTATAAAATTATTAAATTTTTTTGTTATCAATGATTTAGATATCTTAGTTCTTTTTTTAATTTTATATTTTTAAAAGATATTAACAATCGATAATATGGTTATTTTTGGTATATACCATACACACCGAATGGATGTGATTTTATAAAAACCATAAGATTTGGATATGGTTTGATTTATAACCGATTAAACTGAAACATGTAAATATGTATATATTTATAACGACGCATGAATATCTATTTGTTACATGAGTTGAACTATAATTATAATTTGTAAATAGCTAACAATATCTTACAACTTTGACTTCTTATTTTGATCTTTTGCTTTTTTAACAGTAACTAAATTGAAGTAAAGATTATAAATTTGATGGACAACAATTAGTTGAAATTCTTTACAACTTTCTTTTTTTATCTTTAAACAAACATAGTTGTGTTCAATCGAAGACATATTGGTTTGATGAACACTAAATATGGAGGAATATAAAAAAATTTCTTTCATGCTTCTGTTTTGTTTTTTATTTTTATTTTCAAAATTTAGTGTTTTGATATCAATTCTAGATTTGATCATTTTATTAGATGATAAAGCCTTTTTTTGTTTTTTATTCTTTAATTTAAATATATAATATTTTTTTTAATAAATGACTCTGTGATAATATGACTCTAAATATGATATAATATGATCTCAAACTAAATAATCATGTTTTTGGTATAAAATTGAATAACTGAAAACCGATGGTATATAAACCAAATCAAACTGAAGTATATATAGATTTAGAATAGTAGTTATATTTTAATAATTGAAATACCAAAAAATCGAGCCGAACCGAAACCTGATATCCGGATTGAACACCTTTAATCCGAATGATACCAAACTATTATTTCATTTTTCAGAAAATAATAAAAATAATAGTTTCATCAAAGCGAATGTCTTATCCTAGTTAGCATTAAACTAGTAGGAGATAGAGAATCGGTTTGAGTGTTCAATTGAGTGAATAACATAGTGGTTTGGAAATGTCAACAAAAATTGACTAGTCCAGGTGAATAGATGTGAATGGTGAGTAGGCTTGAATTTCCAAAACTGGTCTACCTAAACCAATCAAGACCAAGAAATTTTAATCTCAATTAAAGTATAACTTTGAAATCCTTACCGGTTTAGAAGTTCACCCAGTTTACATAGATTCTAAATTTCAGAATCACAAATTGCTTTGGTGGTTTATGGCATTGATTATATCATTAAATCCGGTTTATCTTTGTTTAGTTGATTTAAACCGGTTTAGCGATTACACAGACGTTATATGTTTGCTTACAAACATTTGGGAAAGTTAATCAGAAAAATAATTAGGGTTATCTCTTCTTCTTCTTCGTATCGATATCTCTCTCACACTCGATCATCCATCAATCACGAATCCAGGATCGTGACTTTCTCTCTGTATCGGATTACCTTCTGATTCGCCGATCTCCTAGCAATTGGTGAGCGGGTTTGATCATTAGGTTACAAAATTGGGGGTTTATCAAAACCTGACTGCGAAGATGGATGACAGTGAGCTACTCACGAGCACGGATCAGAAGATGGACGATGCTTCAACCGTAAACCCTACCCCACCGTCGTCTGATGGTTCCGAGACCGAGTCGAATCATCAGATAGAAACCCTAGAGCCCGAGCTCTCCGCCAATCCCTACAACGATGCTAACGTCCAAGTAATAATAATAATTACCTTCCATTTCCTAGAATTCGCCTCCCAGTGAGAGGAAAACTGATTTTTATTTTACCACATTTTCATTAAAAAAAAATGAAAACTTTGACGCTTGACAATCAACTTTATTGCTGCTTGTGTATTGCAGAATTCTGGAGAAGAAGAGTCTTTGGCTAAGCAGCAGAAGAGTAATGACATGGACGCAGAAGATAAGAGTGCAAACAAAATAAGCATTGAATCAGAGACTGGAAAGGAAGCTAATTCAAATCACGAAGAGAGAGGAGAAGAAGCCCAGCCAGTGAAGCCGAAAATTTTTACAGACGAGTGTACAGCTTTTCTTTCAAATCTCAGTACCAAGGTAGGTCCAATTTACATATTGTAAAATAAAATATGGACTTTCTGAGACATTCTTATATCCTTGGTGGCAGGCACAAAGTAGCCTTCTTAATTTAGAACTCGATAGTGTTGAAGGGCCATCAAATGCTCCGCTGGGTGCTGAGATATCTAAGGAAAAGCAGATGGGAATCTCGGGACACTTGATTGGTGGAGCTGGAGCAGTGTCATCTAGTTCTGTAGCTGTGTCTTCTGATTCTGTTATTGCCAGCATGGAGTTGGAGAAAAATAGTCTTTTGCAGAGTAGTCTTGATTCAAATGAAGTCAGCAGGAATGCCTCTGAGACCCTATGTGCATCGTCGCCACACGATGTGCCTTCATTGGCTCATGTAACGGACAATCAGGATTCTGACAGTTCGTCTAGGTTATCAGGTGGTCATGGTAGAAATGATGAAGTTGCGACTGTCAGTATGACTCAGAAGGAAGACAAAGAAGATGATAAGAGCCATTTAGACACAGAGAAGAGAGTAAAACGGAGAAAAAAACGCAGGTCATCTAGATTAATGACTATATCCCAGCGTCTTGGAGCAATTGACAAAACAACCGCTGATATTGATCTTGGTATTTTGGATGCCTTGGAGGTTGCTACCAATATCGCACAAGAAGTGGCTAGAGAAGTGGACTCTGGGGAAGCTTCTCACAGTTCTTCAGAAGAACTTTCTGATGAAAGCGGGCAGTCCGATTCGCAAAATTCTCACGAAGATGATCTACAGACGGGTTCTCCATCTAAGGGACCATCAATGGGTGAAAGCCATTCCGTTGAGAAGCCGCATGTTGGAGATGACGATGTAATGTATGAGAAGAATAACAAACTTGAGAATGGGATGATGAGCAGTGATGATGTTCGAGAGAAGCACCTGTCAGCAGCTGCTAAATCCGAAGTAGGGAGAGAGAAAAGCCCATGTGGCTTTGACCTCAATGACGATATTTGTCCTGACGAAACCGATGTCATTATGTCTATTTCACATTCTGGTATTCCTGCAGCGGCACCGTTGCGGTTAGAAGGATCTCTTAGTGCGAAAGGGTTGGCTGCTTGTAGTGTATCTCACAAAGTTCCTAGCGGGGATTCAAGAGACAAGCAGCTGATATGCATCGATTTGAATGTAGCTGAGGTAGGAGATGATGAAGTTGAAGATCAAACTCCCTGGAAACAGCTTCCTTCCTTCTCATCAAACTCTCGGGGTGGAGAGTCCTCACATGAAGCTAATTTCCGGGGATCAAGGTTCGACCTGGATTTAAATTGTACAAACGAGGACGATGGCATTCCTCCACCTTCTGAGTTGAAGATGGAAACGAGATTGTTTCTAAGTCACAATGGTCAGCAAAGCGCTTCACCTGTCTCCTCTTTTTCAGTTGCTCAGCAATCAGGCAAGGAAGTAAACTTTGACTTGAATGACAGGCCACAGTTTTTCGTCCATTCACGTGATCAGGGTCCCTACTATAGGCAGCAACCATGGAGCACTGCCTCCTACGGAGGGCAAAAATTGGATGAACCGGTTATCTCTCTATTGGGTACAAAAGTGGACGTTGACAGAAAAGAGACGGGATCCCAGATAGCTTCGTTCCTGTCCAATGGTAAGTCCCTCGAGACAGCAGCGGGATTATACATGGGAAAAACAGGAAACTCTTTGAGTTTAGCCCCTGGTCTTTCCTTTTCTCCAGCTCCTATATATGGGTACAACGGATTTACTGGTCCTCCTGGAATGTCAATGTCATCATCGCCCATGTATGTTCCTGGAACAGCTATTCCATACATGGTGGACGCAAGGGGTACACCAGTGATGATGCCTCAAATGATGGGATCGTCCCCATATGCCCAGCCACCATTTCCTCAACAGCACATGTTCATGAGCTTGTCTAGTGGATCGCCTAGTCTGAATGGATCAGTGCAACCACGCTTTGATCAAAATTATGGGTTTGGGGTTGAGATGGGATTGGGAAACAGAGAGTCGCTAAGCTTAAGACAGTTTCTACCTGGACAGAGCGGGGCTATGGGAGAGCATTCAGGAGCAAATGTAGAACCTTCATCGAATTTGTCTATTAGCATTGGCGGAAAACGAAAAGAGCCCGAGACACCACGTTGGGAGTTCCCTCCTACATGGAGGTGAGTGATTCACAGATAGTGGAGATTTGGTTCTTAGTAGGTGGATGGATTGGTTTATTGGTGACAGAAGTGTTGGGAGGTAACTTATAGTATCTTGATGAACTCTCTTCTTTTTTTTTTTCTTCCCATCAGTTTTCCCCTTGTTCAGGCTTTTATTTGATAACATATATAGGAGGATTAATTCAAACATTGGTATATGTCAAGCTTCTTCTTAACCTGTTGGGTATTGTCTCCATGAAATAAAACTTATATAGTTTTGCGTTTCAAAAGTTGAGAAAGAGTGTTGCTTTGTGTTACTCTAGCAGTTCTGAACTGTTTCGTACAACTCTTATAACAACCAAGCAATGGTGGTTCCTAGAAACAGAGTATGAGTTGTTGTTTGTGGTTCCTAGAAACAGAGTTTGTTCTGTAGTAAAGAACCAAGTTCATGTCCTCTTATTTCTTACGCACTGTCATGTCTGAGCAAAAGAGAATATCCAGCAGTTCAAATTCTATGCATAATCAGACCAAATACTAAAGAAGCTAGACATAAGTACATAACAGTGGGGGAAGAAAAAAGAAGAAGCATCCAGAAACTCATTTTTTAGCTTTGGAAGTCCGACGTCAATAAAGAAGGTATCATCCAATAATAATCACCCTCTCTATCTTCCCTTTTGCTATAAATAGTCTTCTAGCTCACTCAGAATCTGGGAGGAAAACGGATTTTACCAGACTTTCGACTTTATTATTCGACCTTGACTTGTATTTTCTTGTTGAAAGGGAAAAGCAGGACCGAATGTAGAGGAAGAGTCGGCTAAGTAGCAGAAGAGTAAAGGTCAAAATGTGAATGACATGGACGCAGTAGAAGAGAGTGCAACTGTATCAAACAAAAAAAGTGTCAAAAAAGCTGATTCAAATAAAGAAGAGACATAAAACCCCAAACCAGTGAAGCCGAAAATTTATACAGACGAGTGTACAGCTTTTCTTTCAGATCTTAGTGCCAAAGTAAGTATATGGGGTTCGTGTCAAAAATTTTTAGAAGACCTATTGAAATAAGATTTATGATTTTTCTTATGCAAGCTTATATTGTTGGTGGCAGACACAAGAGGAAGATATACGCAAGTTCTTTAGCGATGTCGGTGGTCTTGTTTCCATGCAATGCCATTATTGACTGTTTATGTAAATGAATCTGGAAATTTACTAGTTTACTTTCGGCATGATCATGCTTAGATCCTGTTGGAACTTAAGCGAAGAGAGGTTTTGCGATAAACAATAAGCAAGTAGATTTTTCCATCAGCATTGGTTGGTGGGAACTGTTCACCGTAGATAAGCAATTGAAGGCATACTGCTAATGACTAGTTGCTGCTAGTTTATTTCTTAGTGAAGCATGCCAAGATGGTGGATTTATATTCTTGATGCTCTTGTCTCTCGTAGGGACTGGCATATGTTTGATTTTGTGAATGATGAGCACCTTGCAACAGCTATAGCTAAGAACATGAAGATGTTGATTGGTAAGAAGATCATTTTAGCACGGTCAAATCCAAAGAACGGTAGAAGCAATCTTATGAAGCGATCATTTTAGCCCTGGATATAACTTTCCTTGTTCTACCTTTTTAACGTACTCTGAAGCAAAATCTTATGTTGTAGACTGACAACATCGCATCTGCGACTCTCTCTCTTTTGTCAAGATAATTGGATCATTTTCAGTAACTAAACATACAGCTTAAGTTATTGCAAGAGGACCTTGTTTTCTTGTTTGGCCATTATCTCTTATACCACCAATTACTGTACCGGAAGCATAACTTGCATTTAGAAAAGCGATGCCATGTCATGAGTGGTAGATAGAGCATGTGGGAGCCTATGCAAGATGGTGATAATGAGACGATCACAAAGATTGAAAAACCACAAAAGCTAAAGAAGATTAATATCAAATAACGCTTCTTTTTTACTTTTTGGTTCTTCAACGGTTTCAAACTATAGTCTCCTTTTGATTCAAAAGGCAGCAGTGACCATCGTCTTAAGCCTTAAGTTGTACCCAGTGTAGGTTATTATTGAAAGCAAGAGATCAGTGAGAACATTGAGGTGTGTTATCGAGTTAAGTTCGTGGTTTGTTCCCGTGTTTTAGCAATTAAGAAACCGATTTGATTTGCGACAATTTAAAATAAAACGTTACATATATGTTTTCACATTCCTATCACATTGATCATCAGTGAAAACATCCTTCTTAAATCATGATTGCTTTAAATGAAACTTGTATGCGTCTTAAAACTGCCCTGCTACGTTCATAGGGCCATGATCGATAAGGACATTTGAGTTAATATGTACACTTGTACAAGAAAATAAAAAGTTGGTAGTCACCACTTTAAAGCTTCAATAAATGTCAGCCACTAATCAACTACAAATTCAAAATATTGTGTTTTTTTTGTAAGTTGCAACTTACAAATCCAAAATATTATTACAACAAAGATATTTAATCCATACAAGCTGAAAGAAAAAAAACTTCGCGTACTACATATAATGCGTACTTTTCATAAAGTTTTTAAGACATTATAGATACGATAAATCACACGTGGCAAAATATCATTAAAACACAAGTACTTCAAAAAGCTGACATCAGCATCTTCACTCTCGCTTTCCACATCACTCATACCCTAAAGCCTCACTTATCAAAACCTCTTCGTCTTCTCCACTCTCAAAACAAAACAAGAATCCTTTTCTAGATCTGATCGTGCACCACGGTGACAAGACCCATCACACAATGTACGGACGAGACCCATGGGGTGGTCCTTTAGAGATCAATGCGGCTGACTCCTTAACCGACGACGATCGCAGCCGCAACTTGCAAGAGCTAGACCGTGCCACTCTTCCTCGTCCACTCGACGCAACGCAGCAGGGCTGGCTACTCGGACCACCCGTTAGGAAGAAGAAGAAGTACGTTGATCTCGGATGTATACTAGTTAGCCGCAAAATCTTTCTATGGACTCTTGGAATCGTTCTTGTTACCGCGTTTCTCGCTGGATCCATAACGGTTATCGTTAGACACGTTCCGCATCATAAACATGTGAAACCTCAAAAGGATAACTACACTTTGGCTCTCAACAAGACACTCATGTTCTTCAATGCTCAGAAATGTAAGCTCAAAACAAGTGTTTTCTTGTTAACATTCTGTTATTACATAAACTGAAGGGAGATTTTAGGATGTATAAACAATTTAGTAAGGTTTCTATAATAATTTTTTTAAAAATAAATTTTGGGATTATTTCCTTGTTAATATTCTGTTATTACATAAACTGAAGGGCAGTCCTGAGATTTTAGGAAGTATAAACAATTTATTCTATAACTTTTTTAAAAAAAAAAAAAAAAAATTTTGGACTTATTTCTATGGAAATTATTTTCGAAATGATGTGTCTATGACTCTACAATGTAACAACGGCTTTCTGGATTGAATAAATTTAACATCCATTCGGAAAAAAAAAAGATGTGTCTATGATATGCATTCAGTTTAGTTTAGTTGAGTTATGTCATGTCTCAAGACTGGTTTACTTATGATGTTCCTTGCAGCTGGGAAACTTCCAAAGCACAATAACGTATCATGGAGAGGGGATTCTTGTATGAAAGACAAAGATAGCGAGGGGATTGTTGTAGGAGGCTATTATGATGCTGGAGATGCAATCAAGTTCAGCTTCCCAATGTCATATGCAATGACCATGCTGAGCTGGAGCGTGATTGAATACAGTGCTAAATACGAAGCTGCAGGGGAGCTTGACCATGTTAAAGAACTCATTAAATGGGGAAGTGATTACTTTCTCAAGACCTTCAACAGTAGTGCTGATATAATCTTTAACATGGTTGATCAGGTAAAAACATAATCATTACTAAACAGTTATGAAACAGTTATGAAGCATATGTGAATGATCACAGGTTGGATCTGGGCGTACCAGTGGAGGAAGTGTGGTCCATAATGATCATTACTGCTGGACGCGTCCTGAGGACATTGTTTATGACAGGCCTGTGCATAGATGTTACGGTGGGTGCTCGGATCTTGCTGCTGAGATGACAGCTGCTTTAGCCTCTGCATCCATTGTATTCAAGGACAACAGAGACTACTCTAAGAAGCTTGTTCATGGGGCTAAGACGCTCTTTACGTATGCAAATGCTATTAAAGAAACTTACAGTAAGCCTTATAAAGAGTCTAGCGAGTTTTATAAGTCAAGCCTGTTTTGGGATGAGCTTCTATGGGGAGGGACTTGGTTATACTATGCTACTGGAAATATAACCTATCTAGATCAAGTTACCAATCGTGATATGGCAAGGCGTGCTGGTGCCTTCTGGGGTGGTCCTTATTATGGTGTCCCTAGCTGGGACAACAAACTACCCGGAGCTCAGGTTAGTTCTGTAGTAATGTTATTTTTACCTGACTCTTAAACCACCTAATCTGTTTGCTTTCTGGATCTAGTTGCTTTTGACCAGGTTGAGGCTGTTTATAAGCCCTGGATATCCATATGAAGACATCTTGAGCACCTTTCATAATCAAACAGGAGTAGTCATGTGCTCATACTTACCTTACTACAAAAAGTTTAAAAGAACCAAGGGTGAGTTGAGAGTACTTATCTGTCTACAGTTTTTACTTTTTCTGTGGACATGTTGTGAAGAGCTATAACTTTGATCTCATCTACACAGGAGGTTTAATAATGTTGAACCATGGAGATCCGCAGCCTCTGCAATATGCTGCAAATGCGGCTTTCTTAGCTGCGCTATTTAGTGATTATCTTGATGCTGCTGACACTCCTGGATGGTACTGTGGTCCTAAATTCTATTCCACTGAAATCCTACGTGACTTTGCTAGATCACAGGTATATAATGTGGTTCCTCTATAGCATAAATGAAGCAACTAAATGACCTTATCTGATCAAACTCTTGCGTGTGTTTTTTGGCAGATTGATTACATACTCGGTAACAATCCTAGGAAGATGAGTTATGTTGTCGGCTTTGGACAACGATACCCGAAACACGTACACCATAGAGGAGCTTCGATACCGAAAAGTGTGAAGAAAGAAAGCTGCACCGGAGGTTGGAAGTGGAGAGACACCAAAAAGAATGACCCAAACACCATTGTTGGAGCGATGGTTGCAGGGCCTGACAAGCATGACGGATTCCATGACCTTCGTACTAATTATAATTACACTGAGCCGACTCTTGCAGGCAATGCTGGTCTGGTTGCAGCTTTGGTGGCTTTATCAGGCGAAAGAAGGTTAGGAGCTATTGACAAGAACTCTATGTTTTCCGCTGTGCCTCCTTTAACACCTGCCACACCACCTCCTCCAGCTCCGTGGACTCCTTAAAAAGGAAAACTAAAAACCTTTTGTGTGTAATAAGTTATCTACTTTTGCCTTGTTTAAAACACAAGTGAATAATGTAGTTTTAAATGATTAAAAAATAATTTGGCTTATTGCATAAAGTTGTCTGAGAAACCATACTGTTTTCTATGCTTTTAGGTACATTAGTCCTGAGCATTCAAGTTTATGGTTTAAGTTGGATCCAGCTATTCGTGTTGGGATGTTTTAGACCTATTTAGGAACCTCTAACTTTTCTGATCGGTTCCGTTCAAGTTTAGTTGGGTTCAGATCAGCTTTCTATTTATATGAAATCCAAAACAAAACCGAATTACATATGTGCAAGTTGGGTTCAGATCAGCTTTCTATTTATATGAAATCCAAAACAAAACCGAATTACATATGTGCAGGTTTTACTTTTACCCATAATATATATCATTTGTGATATTTTCTATAGCACAAATGAATTTACTTCAAAAAAATTCTACTAAATACATAAAAGTGTTGTTCATATATAAGAAGTTGTAATCACATATCATGCAAATAGTAGCTAGAAACACAATTTGATTGCCAAAATGTTTTGAGCCTCACGTCAGCTAATTATTCTCATCAAACGAGTTATCATTCAATAATATTACTACAAATTAGTTTCTTTAATTGTTTGAACTTATTAAATGTCATAGGTAGAATACAGAAAATAGCAATATTTTACAACTTTCTATCTTATTATACAAAGCTTGATTTTTCGAAGTTGTTAATTAACATGATCATGACATGTGTCAATTAATTTATTAAATTGTGACACGTGTCAAATATATATTACAAAATATAGTACTTCTGAATACAAATACTTGTTTAATGTAAAAAATCTGTTAAAAAACTTTTATTATATAAAGTTTGGTTCTTCAAAATTTTTAATTAACATAATCATAACATGTGTCAATTAATTTATGAAATAGTAGAAGTGTGTTAATATAAATAATTTTTTGATAGCAATTAATTATTTTTCTTAAATTCTAAACAAATGATAATTGTAAAATTTATATGATAATACTTTTTATCTTCTAAAATCCTAAAAAAATTTAAAAGTATTTTGATAGTATATGTTTATTTTAAATAAAAGGAAGATATATAAATATAATTATTTTCTTTTTAAAAAATCCTAAAAATAAAATTAACTATTTATAGTATTTAAAAAAAAAATTGATGACAAGTATGATGCTAAAATTATTAAATTAGAAAATAAAAAATGGGACATTTGCTAAAAACAACCTAAAATTTCAAATCAAATGCAAAAGTGAACCCTAAATTCAATCAAATGCAAAACCAACCTAAAGGGGTAATGAAATGTCTATTTACCCCTTATGACTAAACAAAAAAACGGACTGCTATTTTACAATTTTGTCCTTATGAAGTCTATATTTAATAGAGTGAAGTCTACAAGGTGTAGACTTATCATGAAGTTAACATTATAGACTTATTACGAAGTCTACATTCTCATTTAATTTTATAATTTTATTTTAAAAATGATTAAAAATATATTGTGTGAAATTTCTTTTAGATCATCAATATAAGAACCAATATGAAGTATATAAATTAAAATTTCATATAATTAAATTTTTTAAAGAATATATTTTGATTAGACTACTATGTGTTGCAAAATGTTTATGGTTTAGCAAAAGATATTCTATCATGTGATGTATTTTAGGGTTAGATTCTTAGGGCTAGATTTTGTGTTTAGATTTCTTTTGTTACTATTGACTTAAATTTACATAATAATGTTGAGTAGTTTATATTTTGTATATCTTGACATTTGGTATAATATTTGAGACTTATTGATTAAAAAGAAATTTCTAGGGTTTGAAATTTGTGGTTTAAGATATGATAGACTTACAATGATGTCTACTTATTATAAGTAGACGTTCTTTGTAGTCTACTAATATTTGGAAATAACTAATTCGAAATAATAGTAGTTCTTAACTTATAAAATGTGAAACAATATATTATAAAAATCAAAATAACAATGGTCCAAAACAATAAAAAAAGCAAATCATATATTAAAACTATTATTCAAAATATAAATCAGTAAAAGAATAGCGTCGTAGACGTACATAGAAATCTACACACCTAACCAGATTTAAGCAATATTTTTAACCAAACCATTTTAACATAACCGGAAAATTACGCGTGATAGACGTACATAGAAGTCTACACATCTAACCAGATTTAACCAAAACTAATTTATAACCAACCATTTTAACCTAACCAGAAAAATTACCCATGATATAAATACTAAATCTAGGGTTTTCTGGTTAAAAAAGGATTTTTAGTAATTTAAACCCTCAACTAAAGATTAATCGTAAAACAAACCTCCAACTAAAAATCTTGTGAAATAAACCCTCATCTTTATGTCCGTTAATGTTTTCGCCCCTCCGTAACTTTTGTCGTCAACTTTTGACGGAGAAACGTTAAATATTGACAAAAAAGTTACGGAGGGGCGAAAACATTAATGGACATAAAGATGAGAGTTTATTTCACAGAATTTTTAGTTGAGGGTTTATTTCACAGAATTTTTAGTTGAGGGTTTGTTTTACGATATATCTTTAGTTGAGGGTTTAAATTACTAAAAACCTTTTTTTTAGAAAATCCTATAAGTATTGATTATTTAGTAATTTTATGACCGATTTTACTGTTAATACAAAATCACTTTTCTTTGTCAGTGAGACCTCGAAGGAGGGTAAATCTAACTTGTAGCTATTCTTGTTTTCATGTTCGCTCTTTTACAAAAGAAAACTTGTTTTTGAGATTAATGTTTGGTTTAGGTTTTGCATTAGTCAATTCGTACAAAGGAACAACCTAAGACCGAATTTTAAAATTCATGTATCCGATCTTCATTTTGGTGAGGAATCCACATTAGTTCAGACAACAAATCAAGTGGACCAATCTCCGTCAATTCGTTTTTTCTTCTCTAACCAATTATCTCAGTCTCTCAATGCTAAAAGAGAACCTACTAATTTTAGCATAAACATAAATAAAAATAGAAATAATACCACAATTAATGTGTAGAATGTTGGCTCAGTGAATGCTTCTAACATATCTATAACCTAAATTAGGACAAGTTATATTTTAGTTACCTTTTGTCTTTTCTAAGATTGGTTGGTGGGTCGGATGGAAATGCATGAGTGACTAGTTTGAGTGATGTAGCCACTGAAAATGGCATTAAAGTCGATGTCCTTATAGGACGACCACTGAAAGATGAACACGCTGAGGTAGGTTTTACCATAGCATTGAGAGACTGAGATGATTTGTTAGAGAAAAAAGAACGAATTGACGGAGATTGGTCCACTTAATTTGTTGTCTGAGCTAATGTGGATTCCTCATCAAAATGATGATCGGATACCTGAATTTTAAACTCCGGTCTTGGGTTGTTCCTTTGTACGAATTGACTAATGCAAAACCTAAACCAAACATTAATCTCAAAAACAAGTTTTTTTTTTTGTGAAAGAGCGAACATGAAAACAAGAATAGCTACAAGTTAGATTTACCGAAGGAATGCGAGGTCTCATTGACAAAAAAAAGTGAGTTTGTATTAACAGTAAAACCGGTCATAAAATTACTAAATAATCAATACTTATAGGATTTTCTCAAAAAAAGGATTTTTAGTAATTTAAACCCTCAACTAAAGATATATCGTAAAACAAACCCTCAACTAAAAATCCTGTGAAATAAACCCTCATCTTTATGTCCATTAATGTTTTCGCTCCTCCGTAACCTTTTCGTCAATATTTAACGTTTCTCCGTCAAAAGTTGACGACAAAAGTTACGGAGGTGTGAAAACATTAACGGACATAAAGATGAGGGTTTATTTCACAAGATTTTTAATTGAGGGTTTGTTTTACGATTAATCTTTAGTTGAGGGTTTAAATTACTAAAAATCCTTAAAAAAAAAACTAAACACGCTGTTTAACATCGTAGGCGAAATTAGGGGCGATTTCCGGTGAGTTTGCCGGCGAACCTACTCCACCTCATTTTCACCGGTCAATCTCATTACCGTCCACTTCGTCATATCTCCAAGGTCAGTTGGGTCGAATCAAGGAAGAAACCCGGCGACTCTCCACCATCCGGGAGGTCATATTTTATCTCTCTCTCTCACTCTCTATCTCTATATCTTTCTCTCCCTCGCTCTCTGTTTTGAATCTGACGGCGTTGTGACAGAGGCGAACTCACAGTGGAGCTTTTCTTCCTCGGTAGCAGAGAGAGAGAAGACAGAGGAAGAGGACGACAGCGGTGAAGATATGAGCGACAGGGGGTTTGTTCTCCTGGGTACTTTCTCTTCTTAGTTCTTTCTTAGGATTTTGAATTGGGTATTTTTTTTGGATTTGGGTTTCGATTTGTATTTACTATCTGTTTATGGGTTTTGATTTTGGTTGACTATCTGTTTCTGTATCAATTGTCTCTTGTTAAGGTCTTGATTAAAATTTATTTGGGGGTTTCGTTCTTAGGGTTTAGATTTTGGTTGGCTATTTGTTTCTGTTTCTGTATCAAGAGTCTCGATTATGATTATCGTGACGATTTGTTCCTATCTTGAGTCTCTGTTTCTGTTACACATTCGATTATCTCTGTTGATATTCTCAGTAAGGTTTCTTTCTTAGGGTCTTGACTATCTGACTTATATTGTGTCTAATTTACTGGTTCTCTGTGTAATGGCTCTTTAATTATGTCTGATTAATCTTGTCTCTGGTCTTCATCGTCTGGTTTCTCTTATATCTTATCTATCTTGTCCCTGGTCTTGACTATCTTATTTATCTTATCTCTGTGTTATAGGCTTTTTATAGTAGCTAGTCTATATTGTTATAGTCTCTGTGTTACGATTTTTTTCACGGTGTAATGATTCTTTGTGTTATGTTGATGTGTTATGAGGCGGGAGAGAGAAGGAGAGATCTCGGAGACAGTGGCTGCGAGTGATATGTTATTGTATAGAGGTTTAATGAAGGCAAGGTGAGAGGCTG